CAGAGCCCCCACCCCACCACCCCTCCCCTCGTCCACTCACCTGCCCACAGCAGGGGCAGCAGCAGCGGCAGCATCTCTGACACGGAGGGTTTCTGGGCTCTTGTGGGAGAAAAGAGAAGGAAGGCAGTGGGACGGGAGCTGGGGGAGACCACGGAAGCTGGGGCGGAGCACGAGGCCTCCCCGTTCACAGAAGAGGAACCTCAGAGATGAAGCTCACTCCCCCTAAGCACTGAGGGTGGACACCCCACAGACAAGAGACCCAGAGACCCACCCAGAGAGGAGCAGACAGGGGGCAGGACTCAGGTCCTGCCCCTCACGGGGGCTTCCCTCCAGCACCAGAGACTGAACCAGGACCTCTGAGGACACGGGAGTCACCTAAGGTCCTATCATCTGAGGGGCTATTCTGAGCAGTGTTGTCTACACCAGAGAGCCAGTCACCCTCTGCCTTGACCTGGAGGGTCACAGTCTCACCCAAACCCTCAGGTTATTGGTCCTGCGAAGTGCAGGATTTTAGCACTTGTGTGAGCATCTGGGTCAGAAGAAATAAGAAGGTCCCAGGTGAAGTGAAGGCAGCATCCACCCATCCATTAAACACTCAGTGAGCATCTAAGTGTTGGTTGGCTGGACACAAGGAGGGATATGACAGACCTGGTCTATGCCAGTGACATGCTCCCCATTCAGTGATGTCACTTCCTCCCCAAACACATGCAACTGCCAGGCTTTAGAGCTGCAGACACTGGTGAGTTTACCATGTATCCTGCTAGCACACTGGGTAATTTCTAAAATTATCAGTGAGTTTTGCTTTTACATTTAATATACTGATTTGTGACATTTCAATGGCATCTCTAAAAATAAAATGATGTGCCTTCTTCATGTAAAACAAAGAGAGAACACATATTCTGTGAGCTAGTGCACAGGAAGCTTTTCTGTGATTCCCACGATTCAGTGCTGTTTGAACTGGAGAGACTATTTGACTTCCTCATCACACAGATTAGCATTTCCTGTCATGTGAAACATCTGCCTCAAGTTCTCCAAGTACTTGCTCAACAACAAAGTTATGAATAAAGAAATGCATTAAAGGCATTTCTCGTTCTGTTATGCAGTGTGGTTTCCATATGGGATATGTTTCTCCCAGCCTTTAGCAATAAGATATTTGCCTTTTCAAATAAACTACATACTTTCTTTTAACAGACAATGATACTTCACATTTCCCTTGTTGCATTGGCTGGCAGGAATCTCTGGGTTATATTTAGTACATAATTTCAGAAACAGGTTCATTCTAGATTCCTTGTATAATTATGTCATTTTTTCTAGGTGATTTCAGTTCTGCATTAAAAAAAAATTCCTACCTTGGAAGTACTATAAAATTGTAAGTCACCTCAAATCCTTTCTGGGACTCTGAAGGGTCTAATTTCTACATAAAGTAAAAATA